GCTCTAATTTCAGTGGGTAGAGGAATGAATGGTAGAAAACGTGTCCCTCAGCTGCCTGTGCCTCCCTTAGAAAGTATTTCATTGTACTTCCTTGTTTAATTGTTCTTGTCTTCCTTACTAAAAGAAAAGCCCCATGAGAGAAGTTACTGTTCTGTATATTAGCATTTAGCACAGGGTCAAGCACATAGTAGGCATTTAACATCTACTCCAGAAAAAAGAAAGGAAGGATAAACAGACTAGTCTTTCAAGAATTTTAATTGAGATGGAGAGAAGGTAGTAGTAACATTAAGTCAAGGAAAGATTTTATTTTATTTTTCTTACAAGGGGAGAGAAACTTGAAAATGTGTATAAGGTGAGAGGGAAGAACCTGTAGAAATGAGAGAGATTGACATAGGAGGAAGAGGGGGTAGATCCTGGAGGATGTGGGGAGGAGACGGAGTTGAAACCACAGGAGGAGAGATGGGCTTTGATCAAGAGTGAGATTTCTTGCTAAGGTTAATGAAAGGAGGCAAGGAAATCATCACTCAAATCTCGCTCCATTCCTTCATTTACTGAACATAATATGTGCTCAGAACTTTGTTAGATGCTGAGGTAGATGGGTTAGGGGAATGAGAATTCAAAACAGGTACAAAACACTGTTCTTAACAATTATGCAATATATTATAAAGCAGAATTAAGTTTTAGCTTCTTATCGTCTCAGGAGAAAGAAAGACAATCTTGAAAGTTATAAAAGGCTAACATATATGAGCTTAGTAATGCTAGGTTTAAAAAATGTATTTGCAATTCATGCATAGCTTTTCCACAATGCACATTTTCCATGAATTTTTTGAAGACCCCGTGTGTGTGTATGCACATATGCATATATACACATAAAGTGTATAATGGAATATTATTCAGCCATAAAAAAGATGGAAATCCTGCCATTTGTGATGGCATGAATCAACCTGGAAGACATTATGCTATAAGCAAAATGAGTCAAGCAGAGAGAGAAAAACACTGTATGGTATCACTTATATGTGGAATCTAAAAACAGAAAATATATGCAAACTCATAGAAACAGAGTAGAATGGTGGCTGCCAGGGGCTGCAGGGTAAGAGAAAAAGGAAGATGTTGGTCAAAGGGTACAAACTTTCAGTTATATGATGAATAAGTTTTGAGGATCCAATGCTCAGCATGGTGACTATAGTTAATATACTGTATTGTATACTTGAAACTCGCTAAGGGAGTAGATCTTAAGGTTCTCACACACACGAAAAGGTAACTATGCGAGGTGATAGATGTGTTATTTAATTTGATTGTGATAATCATTTCACAATGCATGTGTATATCAAATCGTCATGTTATACATTTCAAATATATATAATTTTATTTGTCAAGCGTACCTTAATAAAGTTGATAAAAAAGAAGAAAGAAATAATATAATCATTTTGAAAGTATAAAAATGGGTACAAATTGATATTTAGCCTGCATTCCTGTTTAATTAGACATTCACATTGAGCTAAAACATTTTTTGCTTATTTGCATTTGAATTCATTTCAAAGGACTCCTTCATTCACAGCTTGCCACAGTCCTTGCTGTTCTCTACTGTGGTACACACACTCCACTCCAGTTGTTTCTGTTTTCTGCCTGGCCTCTTAAGGCATTAAACAATTAAACAATTGGGCTAGAAAATCTGTATGATCTTTTTTTTAAAATTAAAAATGTAAATTTATGGCCGGCCCAGTGGCGCACTGCTACAGTGCGCAGCTTGGGAGCGCGGCGGCGCTCCCGCCGAGGGTTCGGATCCCACATACAGACCGGCCACTCACTGGCTGAGTGAGGTGTGGGCGCAACGCCGAGGGTTGCGATCCCGTAGCCGGTCCCGGTCCGGTATGGGCACGACACTGAGGGTTGCGATCCGTTGCTGGTCATGAAAAAAGACAAAAAAAGGAAAAAAAAATTTAAATTTATTATTAGCATATTCATTCTTACAAATTGTGGTATTTCTTTATGACCTTTACCAGACCTATCACTTCCCAAACTCCCTCCCTCCTCACCCCCCATCTCTAGTATCCTTAGGTGTGTTTTCTGCTTCTGAAAGTTCAACATATTTTTGTGGTCTTTTCTTTCTTTCCTTTGTTCCTTCCTTCTTCCCTCTTTCTTTCCCTCCCTCCCTCCCTTTTGTCCTAGCAGTCAGTTATGAGTGAGAACTAACAAATATTATCTCCAAGAAAGCTGACCGAGCCTCATGATATCCCTTTCTAGCTTTGGATATCATGATGCTCAGACAGCTTTCCTAGAGATAATACTTGTTAGCAGAGAAGTCTATAGCTAGGGGTCACTAGAAACAAAGGAAAAATTTAGGAGAGGAACCAAGAGAGAGAGTTTCCTTTCCTGTTGAAATTGACTGTTAGTACCTTCTTAAGCATCATATATTAGATTCTTTTGTTGTCCTATACAAAGCACAATCTCACTAGACATCTGTTTTCATCTGCTATCAAATTTTTAAATAGAAGAGAATTACTGCCAGAACAAAGTAAAAAATTATTTTATACTAATCTTATCCCATTTAAAATATGTATGTTGCTTAACCCTATAGATAGATGTTTGATTATGAAAGAAGGTAATAGAGGATATTGGTATGATCTGAAAAACTTTTTTAAAAATGCTATCTAGGAAAAAAAGCCAACTATTTAAAATTTGGGGGGGGGTATTCTAACATTATGTACTCAGTGCTTCCTGTTCTATTTGAATGGACTATGTGGGCTAATGAAATTAACTATGCTTTAAGAGAGGAGTACAATTATTAGCATAGCTTATGCCCAAGAAAGTCCTTTTTTATCCAGGAAGACAGTCCTTTTGATGGCAGAGAAAGAAAGGAGAGTCTTCCTGAGTGATCAGAGAATCTAGATCATGATCATTCTCACAGTTGTTCCTTTGTCACTTTCTCCACATACCTTGTTTCACATAATTATGAGACAAATACTGCAAATATGACATATTATACTGTCTTACTATCCTCATTTTTACTTTTGTATAACTTGTCAAGATTTTAGATAATTTGCATTTTTTATTGATTATATATATTTGTGGGATGCAGAATCAAATGTTAATACATGTGTACAATATATCGTGATCAAATCAGGCTAATCTCTCATTATAGCATATTATCAACTAATTCATTGGCATGGCCGTGGTAGGCTCATATGTATTTCCACTTTAAATTTGAATTTCAAAATTAAACATAATATTTATCAACAGTTTTAATCACCATCTCATAGACATATGTGAGAGATAGCTAAGAGAGAGTTCGAACTATATTCAGAGCTATTTCAGAACTTGTTGAAGATGTTAATCTCAAAAAATATTATTCTTTGGCCCACTAATGCCACACGTTTTTAATAATTACAGTACCTACTAACCAATTTTTTTCTCATTCCTTCATTCCTTTTATTTCTTTATTATTTTGCGTTTCATTTTTGACAGTGAAGCTCAAGACTTTTGAATGACCAATGAGAACTATTGAGGTAGAATAATAACTTGAAGTGAAGTTTTAAAGTGAAGTGTCAAAGTGAAACAGTCTATTGGAGGTGCCTGACTGAGAGGCTAGAGTCGAAAACCTGCCCTACTGTGGGAAACAAAAATTCAGATACCACATTGAGAAGCAGAAAATGGGAAAAGGAAAGTAAGAGAACAAAAGAATGAGGTAGACATTCATGGATGCTCTCATTGTGGTAAGATCTTACTAGCTTGGCGCTCTTTCTTCTGTGACTTTTATTTCTGCCTGTAGGAATTGGAATATGTAGGTAGCTATTTATAATGAACAATACTATTATGTTTCCTATTTTAAAAGGTTTGCTGTATTGGTTAAATTGGCCTTTCATAATAATTGGTATGATAAGGAGATAATGACCTCTTCTGAACTCAGATATTGCCATTTAAAAGAAATGAGCTAGTTTCACAAAGAAATAACATAATAAACAAGTGGAAAACATCTTTGTAAATAATGAGTTTGGCAAGGAAGTTGGAAGATTTTGCAATTAATTTTAATTGATTACTCTGATTGTGTATTTCTGTATTTATTTTATCATGTAATTTGCTGCTGATATGGATACATTCTTTGTTTCTCAATAGTAATAATATATGCACATTTATATTTATATGCATGGAAAATTAGTAGAGACAGGTTTTATAGAGAATCTTGCATAATACAGAAAAATTCAATAAATGTATTGAGTATATAATACATTTTAAAGTTCTTATGCCTCAGAGATAAATGAAATATCTGTCGTTATTCATTGGTACAATTTATTTGGGGATTCATTTATTGTATTCTTCATCTTCACTCCTTCTCCTTTACCTTGGAAAAATACTTTGAAAACAAGTTTTGCCGAACTATTGGTTTTCTTAGTGTATTTCATTAGCAACCTTTAATCATGTTAAATCAATCTTAATTGATTTATTTTATTTAAAGGGTCTTTCCTTGCCTATTTCAAACAAACTTTATTAGTCCGTTTCTGTTGTTTATAACAAAATACTTGCAACTCGGTGATTTATAAGAAAATGAAATTTATTGCTTACAGTTTCAGAGGCTAGGAAGTCCAATGTTCAGGGAACACATCTGGTGAGGGTCTTGGTGGTTGTGACAGTGATGCAGGGTGTCACAGTGTGAAATGGCAGAGCAGAGAGCAACTAACCTCCTCATTCACTTTCCTTTTAAAGCCCTCCAAACTATGCCCATGACCACCATTTTTAATCCATTCACTATGGCGTGGTACTACAGTCTCAGCACCTCTTCAAGTTTCCACCTTTCAATTACCATAGTAGGATTTCCCACCCTCAACAGTTACAGTGGGGATTAAGTTTTGGGGGGACATTCAACCCAAGGCATAAACTGATTTAAACATGACTCATTCTTATTTTTGAGATACTGTGTCTTTTTTTTCCCTTTTAGGGTCTTATTATTCCCTGTTGTATTCCTTTATATGTAAGAGTTCACCAAAAAAGAATCTCTTCAGTGTATTTGACATTCAGACCATCTGGTAAATGCTATCTGTTGGCGTAAACAACTGGCTTTCTACAGTAGAAGTTAATTTCTCACTCACCGGAAGTCCAATGATGGTGTTTCTGATGTGGATAGCATTCATCATGGTCTTTCAGGTACAAAGGCTCTTTATAACTTGTGATTCACCACCATCCTCTAGGGTTTCTGAGTCCTCTGTATTTAGCTTCCAGATGAGGAAAGAAAATGGGGAATTTTACATTGGGATTTTTGTGAGCAGGCCTGTAAGTATTGCTCACATTCCATTGTTCAGTGTTTAGTTATATGACCACATCTAAATGCAGGGCAGGCTGGGAAATGTGATCTATTCAAGTGCCTGGGAAGAAGAGGTTGTAGGTTTGGTGAACAGCTTGCCAATTTCTGTCACATGTTGACTTCCTCTGCTTTTTTTCTTTTAAAAATTGTTCTCATTTTCTTTAATTTAATAATTCGTTCATTCAAAAGATGCTTAATGAATTTATACTATATGCTAGGCACATGTTATTGTTCTAGGCACTTGGAATACATTAGTGAACATTTCTCATTTGGGGTTTGTCTGATTTTTTTCATGATTAGATTCAGGTTATACATTCTTGGCCAAAAAGTAGTCCTGGTTCTTTTATGCATGTTAGTTAAACATATTCTATCTTAATTTTATGTTTTAAAAAGGATACACAGCTTGGGAGTAGTTAAGAGAGTATGTGAAAAATAAGGTTACAACATTCTTTGGAGAAGGTATAGCAAGCATTATGTAGCAATTTTCAATTTTAAATAAGCCCAAGAGCTTCTACTTAAATATCCACCAGAAAAGAATATGTGAATATATTTTATTTATAGATAAATTATGCACAACACAGACATATTGATAATCATTACAGTTACTGTTAATAATAACATGGCTCTGTTAATATACATAAAGCTGATTTTTTTCCATGTATAAGAAAGCAGATATGCTAATTAGAAGACTTTAGCATGTAAAATCTCTCTAGGCCTGAGATTCTTAGATTTTAAAATTCTCCTTGTTAGGCCATGCGCTTCTTGAGGTTGGGATCCAGTCTTATTTTTGTATTTCCAGTACTTATCACAGTGCTCAATGAATAGTAATAGAGGTTATAGCTAATATTCATTATGCACTACTGCATATCAGGTGATGTTTAAGCATTTTACATGTACAACTCTTTGATGCAGATACTATAATTATCTCTATTTTAAGGTAGGAAAGCTGAGCACAGAGATTAAGTAACATATGCAATGTTACACACCTAACAAGTGGCAGAGCTGGTATTCAAACTTAGGCAATCTGACTTTAGAGCCCATGCTCTTAACTTCCACACTTCAATAGACCCTATAAATGCTTGCTGAATAGATGAATGAATGAATGAATATGTGAATGAGGGAGACGAAGGGGTAGACCAGGAGAGTTCTAAAATGCCTTCTGGGTTAGAATTTTATGATTCTGTGTTATGTTCATCCATGACTCTTTGGGTTTTGTTCCAATTGATGAAAATTTCTTATTTCACAATAGTAATCATGTTTCACTTTTTTACTATAGGTAAAAAACAACAACAACAACAACAACAAAAAACCTGTTGTGACCCATCTTATTATTTTGGTAGTTATTTACTCATCATTTATTTATTCATTAGATAGGTATTGAGTTTCTACTATGGGCCAGGCATTGTAATAAAAGCACTTAAAACAACAACAACAACAAAATCCAAACTCACGTAAAGTTAATAGTCATGGGAGTACAGTTGATATTGACATAAATGAATGATTACCCAAATAATAATTAACTCCTATTGTGGTGTGTGTGGTTGTAAAGTACAAGATTTTTATTAAAGCTTATAAAAAGGGAACTCAACCTAATTTGTATAGCTCATTTTATACTCTGGAAAAAGATAATGAAAGACTATGACTAAATAATAGCTGATTGAAAGCCAGAGTACAAGCCAGTGGGCCTCCTTTGTAACATACAAAAAAGACCTTATCTTCTGCAGAGGATAGTCAGGGAAAGTTGGACGGGCATAGTATTTAATCATTAGAGTAGGTGAGCTACAAAGGAGGTTGTCCAGTCAAGGCAAGTCTGCTATGAAGGAATAGGACCGTGACACATGAAATGGGAACATCTGGCTTGTTGCCCAGAAACCTTATATCCCTAGATTTCTCTGAAATTTCTAAGATTACAGAACTGGACAGCTCTCTCTACTAAGAGCTACCACCCACCCCCCTTTTCTTAAAGACAATATAGAGGCCTCTTCTTTGCAAGGCAACAGGTGACCCCTCAGAATCTGTCCTCACATCTCCCTGACCACCACTGCAAATGTAACAGCATAATCCAGCTGGAAGTATTGATTGTGAAAATGGAGGAAAGGGGCTATGTCCCAACAGAGCTACATGACCCAGCTAGCCTATATAGACAAGAGCTGGGGGAGTACATGTGGGATTGTATTCTGAAGGTGCTCAATCAGAGGGGCAGGAGCATCAGAATGGATGAAGAAGAGTTTCATTATTCTGGAAATATTCTCCCAAAATGAAGGATTTATGCCCTTACAAGGACCCCAGAAGATAGTGAGGAACTGTTATTAGAGTGGGTTCTCAAAGCATGGGAGAAGCAGTGGCCCATACTAAGTGAGCTTGAAATGCCAGATTTGCTGTGGCAGATGGTCACAAAAGGGATATAAGAATTCAGGGAACTGGGCATGAGGAGTGGATATTCTAATAAGGCAGGAAAACACAGGAGATGGTTGAGTTTTAGGGGAAGGGACAGAGGATACAACATTTACTAAGGATATAAGGAATGCACTGATGGGATGAATATCAGCATCACTAAGTTCAGCGGAGACTCTTCTATAGCCTGGGGCTGATGGTGGAAGAAATCTTTGTAGAACTAGGCTCATTGATAGCAATTGGGATGATAGGAACCGAAACAACTGAAGTCAGGTGGGAGAGAGTAACTTTTAAAAGCCAGGTGAATGCAATTATTATAAAGACCAGGAAGGTCAGAATAGCAGCTAAAGGGGTATGATCCACAGAGCATTATGAAAGTGCTAAGTGGAACACAGTATTGCTAGAGGCAAAATAAATGGGTAGTCAATAAAGATAGTGCTCAAATTGTACCATGAGAAAAAATCAAGGATGGATGGTCAGGGAGATTGAGTACAACTTCCCCAGCAAAAAAGTCAGTCATAACCACTGGTGAAACGTTTGTACCAGAACCAGTGAATGGACCTAGAACCCAATGATTGAAGAAGAGCCTGGGTCCTAATGTACTTGGCAATTCCATAGCAAGTAGTGGCAGTAATAATTTCCCAATGCTTCCTCAAAGAAAGCAGCAGCCATGTTCTAGGGTAACTGCACACAAAGGGGAAAGAGGAACACACAAATATTTTGAAAATTGTTAGACACAAGGTCTGAGTTGACATTGATACCTAGAGACCTGATGTCTTCCCCTACTCTCTCCCTTCCCCATTTTGAATGGGTGCATATGAGATGCAGTCAATGAATGGAATTCTGGCCAAGGTCCATCTCAAAGTGAGTCTTCTGGGGTCCTCAAACCCACCTGGTGGACATTTTCATGATCACTGAAGATAGAATTTGAATAGGAATATTTGATAGTTGGTATAACCATCACATTGGATCTTTAACCTCTGAGGTAAGAGCTGTCATAATGGGGAAAGCCTAGAGGAAAACTTTGAAATGCCCCTCCTTCATCTCCTCTGAGTTAGTGAATCAAAAACAATATAATATCCTGAGGTAAGGGGGATAGTGGAAATTAATACCATCCTAAAGATTCTAAACAACGTAGGGGTGATGTTCCCAGTCATATCTCCATTTAATTCTTAGTCTGGATCCTAGAGGAACTAGGGAGATCCTGGAGGATCATAAAGTTAACCATGTGCTAGTGCCAGTTGAAGCCACCATGCCACATGTGGCATCTTTTCTCAAGCAGGTTACATGCCCTCAGACATTTGGTGTACAGCCATTGATTTGGCAAATTCATTCATCCTCTCCTTATTAGAAAAGAGGACAGAAACAGTGTTTATTTATGAAAAGGACAAGAGTATACATTTAACAATTTTGCCTCAGTAGTATAACTCTCGAGAACCATTCTTGGTCATAACATAGTTTGAAGAGACACGAACTATGTCAATAATATCAAGTTAATTGAGCGAAAGCAAGAAACCTATACCACATTGGAGGCCGAGGGAAGATGCATTTTTTTGAGAAGGTGGGAAACAAACCCTAGGAAGATTAAGGGACTTCCTATATCAGAAAAATTGTTACAACTGCAGTGATCAAAAGCATGCTCAGGCATCCACCCAAAGTAAAGGATAAATTATTTCATCTTGTATCTCCCGACATAAAGAAAGTACAATACCTGGTGGACCTTTTTAGGTTTCAAAATAGCATATTTTACACATGAGAATATATCTCTGACCCATTTCCTGTTTATGTGAAAGACCTCTGCTTTAAATAGGACCTAAAAACAAGAAAGGGCTGTGCAGCAGAGGCAGGCTGCAGTGCATAGAGCTGTGTCTAAGGCTGCCACCTGACAAACCCTGTGGTATTTGAGATATCAGTGCTGTGATGCATTTATGGCAAGTCTCTGGGGGAGAATCACAGTGTAGACTCTGGGATTCATGAGCAAGGACATACCATCCACACTGGAGAACTATATGCCTTTTGAAGAAGAACTTCTGGCATGCTACTGGGCCTTCTTAGAGGGAGCATCTGACCACAGGGCATGAAGACATACAGAACTGCCCATAGTGATCTTGGTCTTGTCAGGCCCAGAAGTCTTAAGGTTGAATAGGTCCAGAAACAACCCACCATAGGATAGAAGTGATTCATCCATGATTTATCATGAGCAGGATTGGAGAACACAAGTAAGCTTCATGAACAAGCAGTATTTCCTACATGTTGTCCACCACTGTTGCACATGCACCTCTTCATCAGCTTACACCTATGACCTGATGGAGGGCAAATAGGCCTAAGCTTGGTGCACAGATGGGTTGGCTTGGTATGGGGGTGCAAGTCAAAAATGGGTAGCAGGTGCATTAGAGTTTCACTTGGATGGCCTTGATGGTGTCAGGAGAGAATCTTCTCAGTAAGCAGA